GTTGATTTATCATTGATTTTTGATAGATAAAAATAGTCCAGTGTTATCTGGACTGTACCAAATTGAGGTAGTCAAAAAAGTCCACCGAAACGTTTTGGAAAACAGAAAAGTAAAATTACCAGAGATAGCTGACACCCTAAAGATATTAATTGTACGTGATGGACATATTGTTCACAAATATTTGAATAGGAAAAACCTCTGTGCTAAATGGGTGCCGCGCAAACTCACAATTGACCAAAAGAATAACGAGTTGATGATTCGTAAAAGTATTTGCAGCTGTTTAATCGAAATAAAACTGAGTTTTTGCATCTATATGTCATCATGGATATGACCTGGCATCATCACTACATTCCGGAGTCGAATAGACGGTCAGCTCAGTGGTCTAGACACGATGACGAGAAAAAATGCAACCAATCAGCTGGCAAGGTTATGGCGTCAGTTTTTTGGGATACGCAAGAAATGATATTCATCAACTATCTCGAAAAAGGCCAGACCATCAACAGTGACTATTGTATAACGTTATTGGAACATTTGTTGATCAAAATCGGAAAAACCGCCCCATTTGGAAAAGAAAACCGTGCTGCTCTATCAGGACAACACACCAATTCACAAATCCGTGAAAACTGTGGCCAAAAAACATGAATTAGGCTCCGAATTGCTTCCTCTCTCACTATATTCTCTAGATCTGTTCCCCAGTGATAATATCCTGTTCTTAGATCTCAAAAGGATGCTCGCTCTGAAGAAATATTTGCCAAATGATGATAGCCAAATCTTGTGGCTAAGTACAAATCGTACTACAAAAATGGTTTCGAGAAGTTCGAAGTTTGCTATAATTATAATTATAGCGAAATATAATTGGTATATCATATTCGAAGAAAACTATATTTAATAAAAAAAAGAATTTTATGTGAAAGAAAAATGTGTCTTTCTTAATTATCCTACGGACTTATTGAGTGAAGTGATATAACAATTAAAATTTGGAATAATGGACCGAATGGGTCGGTTTATACAAAAACCGACATTTCAGAAAACCGGTTTTCGAGTTTTAAATTTCCCAGAAAACCGGTTTTAACAGGTTTTCGAAATTTATATAAAAAATCAATTTTTGCTCGAATATTCTGTAATAACAAAAAAAATATCGGCAATTTAGTGTGATTTAAAGCAGTTTTAGACTGAATTTATTTAATGTTCAGTTTTATAAAAAGTAAACAAATTTATTTTAATTTTAATTAGTAGAACAAAGAAATAATGATGTGGATTAAATGACTTTGAAAATCATTATTTATGTATCATTTTCACATATCGATTATAAATATTTTTATGATAGTGAAATAAGAGTTTAAATAAATAAAAATAATACATTTTTAAATAAAAAACTTTTAACTTTTAATTAAATAAAAAAAATTAGATACATATTGATACATAATTGTTAATGTAAATTTTTTCAATGTAAATTTTCCGAAATAGAAAATACTCTCTTACTTGCAACCGAACTAAAGTGTGATATAATAATTCTGGAATTTTTTTCCTTTTATTTGTGGAAATTTGAGTAGAGCAATTCACTCCTTCAACAAGAAGTCGCATTGATCTAAATTAATATATCCATTGATATAATAATCCAAATTAATATATACATTAGACAAAATATAACAAAGAATCTTTCTGGGATAGAACAGACTGATATGATTTCAAGTTTTATCGAACCAATATGATTCCAAGTGTCAAAAAGCTTACTTCCATCTAGTATATTTGTCATTTTCCATTTCTACAATAAGAACCGTTTTTTTTTCGCTAAAACACCGGTTTTCGAATTTCATAATTTTCGTCAAAAAAACGGTTTTCAAAACCGATTTTTAAAAACCGACAAACCCTAGCAATGTATTAATTTGGCTCATGTTTGTTTTTTGTTCGATAATGTGTAATATTTGAACATGCTTGGCAAATTTGCACAAAATTTAATCATTTTCAATAGTTTTTCATATTGCGATGGCCACAGTAACTCGATATTGATTTCTTATTGATCTTAATCCATTAATTACACATGTAGGGAAGTTCAGGAAACTTTGCTTTAAGACAATACGGTACTTAATTTACAATTAGTTTAAAAATGAATACACTTGTTTTTAGACTATCTTCGTTAAATAATGTTAATTATTAAAACGTTTCGAGGCTATGGTTTTATATTATGTTATATTATAAAGAATAATTTTAATAAGTATATTTATACAAGATATGCGGTAACAAACATTGTAACAAAATATTTATCAACAATGTAATTGATATTATATGCATTTGTAAATTGATTCTAAATTGATTAGCAAGGAAATGCGATTACCTGTACCTCATAACTGACAGTAATTTTTTAGCTGTTAGGAAATTATCGACTATATACTACTCGATGGTTTTTCTGTGAAATAACGGTTCCTTATAATTATTTTATAGTTATATATACCCTCATAATACTTTTCCGTGTAAAATAATCAGGTTTTTTGGTTCAGATCTAGGTGAGCGATATGGGTTGCATACTTACGCTCTAATAATTATGAAAAATATATTCACTGTTAGGATACTTTTAAAAGGGAGCGAAAAGTGACCTAATTATCAATAATATATGATAGTATACTTATTTTGTAGAAATATTTGAATGTAGCACTTGAGACTGTCCTATTATAATTAACTAAGTTTGACAATTATAATAGTACATATTTATAATAGTCTATGTAATTATTTTGCGTATTAAATCATCCGATCATCATATAGGCAGATCAAATCGCGGTTTTAAGATAAAATAATAAAAAACTGGCCATTGATTCACTTCAGTATTCACCACAATGTCTATATAAATCAGGTATTGGAATGCTCTATCTCATTTTCCTTTATTTATGACCATGATTTTGTTTTGTACCTATAATAACATAAAGAACAAATCAGGTATAAGTGGCAGTTTGCCTTAAAGAAAAGTTGCATGTACTTCCCGATATGTGTAACCGACAAAATGAATAAATTTGATATTTGGCTCTTTATATGAAATATTTAAATGATTATTTCTAAATTAAAGTTTTTGCTTTTACTAAAAACTGATTAATGTGATTTTCAATTGATATGTTCTAAACAAACGTCGAGAAAACATAAAATCAGCAAATCGGATTTTTTGTGAAAATATTCTCCCTCGGGAATTAAAAAAAAAAACTTTTATTAACTTTCCGAAGGAGAAGTATATGTTCTCATCAAAAAATCCGATTCGCTAATTTTATGTTTTCTCGACGTTTCAAGCCATTCTGAATCGAATGAGACCAAATTTGAAAAAAGAATGTGTGTGTGTGTGAGTGAACATATTTTTAGCCGTAAATCGACGTTTTCTCAAAAACGGCTGGTCCGATTTCAATAATTTAAAGCCATTCGGTGTATCTCGATGAGGACTAGCGTTTGTGCGATGATTGGCCAAACCGTTTCTTTGTAAAGTGAAAAAAAAATTCGTCCACGTTTTAGCCCGCAATTCTGAATCGATTTGCGAAACCTTTCGAAAGATATTGGTTGGGAATCGACCTGATTAGTTTTTGGTAAAGATCGGCCGGGGCGTTTTCTTGTAATAAAGGGTTAAAAAAAATTCGACGATTTTTAAGATTTTTATTGACGGTAGATACCATAGTCTTATAGATCATACTAAAATATTACGGTCCTACGACAAGTAGTTTAATTTAAAAACTCGTCAAAGTTTGCAAAAATTAGTATTGTTTTTTTTTTCGCGTTTGTCAAAATTAGATCTTTCATCGATGTTTGCTCAAAAACGCCTTAACCGATTTCAAACATTTAAAAGCCAATCGATGTATTTTGATGTGGATTATATTTTCTCAGTTTTGTGCAGCGATCGGCCAAACCGTTTCTTTGGAAAATTCGGAAAAAGCGTTAAACTTTTCGTCCACATTTAAGCTCATACTACCGAATCGATTTTGAAAAATCAAAACTGTTCGAAAGATATTAGTTGGGAATGATACTGATTAGTTTTAAGTGAAAATCTACCGAGCCGTTTTCTTGTAATCAACTGTTTAAAAAAAATTAGGCCGATATTTATGGAACTTTTTATATCATGCGACATATATCATAGTCTTAAAGAACTTACTGAATTATTACGGCTTTACGACAAGTAGTTTAATTTTAAAAATTCATCAAAGTTTGAGAAAATTAGTAGTTTTTTTGACGTTGTTACAATTAAAATTAGACGATTTACTTGGTATAACGATAGAGTACTTAGTTTTAATGAACATACTAAACCATTAAAGTCCTACAATCCTACGGAAACTGGTACTACAATTATAAAAATTGTTGATTTTTGAAAGTTCGTTTTCAATTACGTGTAATAAATCCACTTGGAATCCTTTTATCACTCATAAATTAATTCATTTTTTATTGATTTAGTCGATTGATTACACATATCGGGAAATTAATGTAACTTGCCTCAAGGCAAAATACCAATACCAACTAGTTTCTAAAGTGATTTTTAAAGCTCGTTATAATAATCATGTTCCATTCATATTGCAAAAATATCTATACGCCTAATATAGAATTATATTAGGATAGAGCGGAGCTTTATGATGCGCGGGTAAAAAGGCCCACCGTCATTATATCAAAAACAAGTGAAGTGAGAATCTTAAATAATACTACTTTAAAGTATAGGAAAAATGATGTGTAATCAGTCATCATCTTAAATCGGGCAACATTGCAATAGGGAGATAATCGGCCACATTTCAAATTCTTAACGAAAGTATTTTTTTTTCGTTGTTAGTCTTTGTTTTGAGCTTAGTTTTTAGCTAAGGGCGCCCCCATAAAAATTTTAATGCGAAACCCCGCTAATCCATGCTACGTTCCTGTATAATATAAGCACCTTATAAAATTATATCTATAATTACAGCTAAAATATAAAATTATAGTACTACGATTAACAATGCTTGCAGTCATTTTACCTATTAAGTATAACCTAATCTATTTTATGTTGGTTTCAGAGAACTGGATGATAATCTTCTGAGGGAGTTTCCGAGGGCTTTATCGACCGTATCTCAATTGAAGGAATTGTAAGTAAATAATCTATTTTTCATGGTGATGTTTTATCAATGGCGACGTGCCTAATTGAATTTGAACGTCGTGCAGAAATAACATTCGACATCGAAAGCGTTCGCGGAGCCACTTAGGATAACTTAATTTACCATTACACATAATTAATAAATGATTATACTTGTGATTGAGAGTATTAAAAACAACTCTCTGAAACAAACATTCTACTTTTTACTTAATCTTGGACTCTACGCCGGTATGGAAAAAAAATAGATGATGACTTAACGCATTAAATTATCAGGATTTTTATCAAATTGCTAATTGCATTTTTTAAATAAATTCATGTTCAATTTTCGTATATTTTCTAAATGTAATTGCTAATTTTATGTTTTCTCGACGTTCTAAGCCATTCTGAATCAAATGAGACTAAATTTGAAAAAAGTGTGTGTTTTGTGAACAGATTTTTGACCTTTCGTCGACGTTTTCTCAAAAACAGCTGGCCCGGTTTCAAAAATTTAAAACCCATTTCATGTAACTCGATGATGACTATCGTTTGTGCGACGATCGGTCGAGCCGTTTTTTCGTAATTATCTGTTGAAAATTTTTTTCGATGGAACTTTTTCTGTTGATAGTCATCATGATCCAAGCCAAGTTAAGTCGTTTAATTTTAATGCATCAAAGTTTGAAAGAAAAGTCAAAATTTGTGTCAAAAGTCGTTTTTGTGATTTCACAAATTTAACCCTTTCGACTCGGATGCCGCCGCTCTGGCGGCAAATCGTGTCGTTGCGAAGTAAACTTACAACATGCGTTTTTTGTTATTCTTTTGAAATTAATTCCCTATTAAGATCATTTATTGATTAATTCATAATTATTTTCATAAAAAAATATGATAAAATTAATTGAATAGCTCATAAACACCATTATTTGTTAGATATAGATGTTACTAGAAATTTTATATATTATTTATATACTTTGTAATGTATTATACATATGCATATTATACATTCATACACACACACGTATATAATATACGTGCAATAGAAAAAATAACGGTATTATTGGGGTTGGCTTAATACGGGCACGTTAACCGTATCTTCTCTCTAAGAATATTGTCTTTTTAATTTTTTTTATTTAGTTTTTATTCAGAATATATTTGATATAAATTTTATAATTATTTTTAATAATCTGTGTAAAAAGGATTTTTTAAACAATATTATGGTTTTTATCACATTTCTTATTTTTTTTCAAATTCTCTGTTTTATTATCATTCTAACTATATTTAAAAACAATTATACCACATTTAAAATAAATCCGATACACAAAAAAAATCCGAGTTGTAAGATTTGTATAGCATTATAATATACCGCGCGTAGCGGACCGTCGAGCAGTCAGACTCCCGAGTGGAAAGTGTTAAAAGCCATTTTTTGGAATTAGCAGGAAAATAAGTCTAGTTGTGTAAAAAAATATTACCAATCATTAAGTAATATCATTTACGCACATGATATTTGTAATCGTGCAGTTAAAAATTTTATCTAAATAAAAATCTCAATTTTGGTTGATTAAGTCAATTGTTACGCATATCGGGAAGTTCATGCAACTTGCCTTAAGGCAAAATGCCACTTTCAACTAGTTTGTTTTGAGGGCATATAACATGTTTATATGGGGAATAAATTTATTATATTATAGAGAAAACAAGCATGAACTAAGTTTTCATTACTGTGAAATAAGAATCCCCTAAAATTAAGCAGCATTATAAAGCAGCAAATATTATCAAGTAATATTTAATTTTTTATTTTTTGCGTTAAAATAAAAATTTATTATAACTTTATTTTATGTATAGAAATGTATTACATTACGGAATGATTTTAAAAACTATTATTTTTTTCATGCGTTTCGACATATGATGGACACATCATCAGTGGATAGGAACATTTTGGAGAACAACCATGAAATACCTGCATTAATAACGATAGATATAAAGTACATTGACACTAGCAACGTAATACTAAAATTGTCAGTAATTGTGTATAAATTTGTATTTGTAGTTGAAATTAATTTTAACAAACTTTTGAAGAGGCAGATGTATTTGGCGTTCTCGCCAAAAACCCAAATTCTTCAAGTTCACAAAATTTTATACGTCATCCATACATTTGTCAGTTTGAACAAGGAAAACCACACAAAAAATTTACTCGATTAATTGACATAAAATAATACAAATTGAAAAATTAAAATAAAATAAAAACAAGATATTTTTAGTGAAACAGAATATCTCAATCAATAGCATTTTTTTACTATACAAGTTGAGTTGAAAAAAATTGAATAGTAGGTTATATATATATATATATATATATATATATTTATATATATATATATATATATATTTATATATATATATATATATATATATATATATAGCCAGAGTTTCGTAAGTGGAATACCAAAACATGCCCACTTACATTTCAATAAACTTCAATAAAGATTTTAAGCCATCAGAATGGAGCTCGGTTCATAAAATCGACTTCTTAACCTATCGAGGACCTATCTATCTTTTCTGTAGTCAATATCATTTGCATTCAATATTATGTAAGTGGCGCAAAAGCAAAGTTTATGATACGACTTTTATTAAAAAATAATTATAGGCATTTGGATCCTTGAGAAGAGCAAATAATATGTAAGTAACTGGCCCGAGGCCAAATGACCCATAATTATATGTCGTAAATGTTAAAATCCGTTGTTCATGCTGCAAAGAAGTAGCTTAATATTGCTTTATATAATAATAATAAGCACGCTGTTTGAAAGCAAGATCTTAGTATGAAAGTAACATTTTTTCCTTTCTTCTGTTTCCAGAATTTATTTCACATATAGTCTTGTCTTAGCTTTAAAATTCGTAAACATTTCTCTCTCAAGTTATTTTTTACTCAAATTGTTGACCATGTTAATACTTGTATGCATAGGGTACGGTTGTGCCACTTTTTGTTAATCTGCAGTATATTTGTTAATGTACCAGTTTGCTGGAAAAAGTAAATTAAATAGCAATTTGAACATTTGTCTATGTAAAAATCCTGAAAATTCTAATTGCTGATAAATAACTACTAATGTTCAACTTACAGCAAAATAACAAACAACGTGATCTGTCTGTCTACAATTAAGTTATTAAAAAGACTTTGAACATGAAAACTTACTTTTGACTCTTTAAAAGCAATGCGCTCTGTAGAATGACTGAAATCAATATGGAAACATGTTTGAAAAAACATACTTCGTCTTACTCCTTTTGGTCCATATCTTAAAATCAGTATAGTTAGTTGTTAGGACGACTGTCACTACCGTACCCAATCTCTCTTCTACCTTTGTATGTTCATAGCAAAGAATAGAGAGGCAACAATAAATATGTTATAATGGGTTTGGATATAGAATACGATTATTAATAATAACAATAATGATTGTCCAAAGACAGGTTTTTGAACTGGGTTGAAATTTAACTCATAGCAGGTAAATTTGAGTGGGCAATGGGCATTATAAGGAGTTATCAATTTCCATTTTACAATGTAGCTTTCGGAAAAGCATATTTTCAAATAATAAATAAAAATATTTAAACAAATAAATAGAAACAACTTATCATTCACCCAAAATCACTAGCAAACTTCTCAATTAATAACAGAGAACTATCGACGTAGATTAAAGAGAAAAGCGCCACTTGATTTAAGTCATCAATTTTCCTGATAAGGATTGAAATAACTTAGTTATTATTTGTAAGAAATTATTTATAAGTAAATAGTTAAGATTATATCATTATCATTAAAATATTGTTAATGTTAAAACGAATGGAAAAACAACTATTGAGTTGTTTTTCCAACATGTCAATATAGCATACAATGTCCCTTTACGGCTGACAATTGTAAATTTCCCAAATTTACTAAATGTCCTTAACTGGACAGTTGGTATTGGTATTTTGCTTTGAGGCAAGTTACATGAACTTTCCGATATGTGTAAATAATCGACTTAATCAATAAAAAATAAATTAATTTGAGTGATTAAAGTATGAAAACGAACGAACACGTTAACTCGGAATATTTTCTAAGAGCAAATTTTCAAAAATCAACAATTTTTATAATTGAATCAGTTTTCGTAGGACTTTAATGGTTTAGTATATTCATTAAGACCAAGTACTCTATCGTTATACCAAGTAAATAGTCTAATTTTAATTTGAACAAACGTCAAAAAAAACTACTCATTTTCTCAAACTTTGATGAATTTTTAAAATTAAACTACTTGTCGTAAGACCGTAATATTTCAGTGAGTTCTATAAGACTATGATCTATATCGCCAAAAAAAGTTCAATGAAAATTGGCTTACTTTTTTTTTCAACAATTAATTACAAGAAAACGGCTCGGTAGATTTTCACCTAAAACTAATCAGTATCATTCCCAACTAAAATCTTTCGAACGGTTTTTGAATTTTCATAATCGATTTAGAATTGCGGAATAAAACGTGGACGAAAATTTTTTCACATTTCTGCTATTTACAAAGAAACGGCTTGGCCGATCCACTAGATACATGGAATGGCTTTTAAATTTTTGAAATCGGTCTAGCCGTTTTTGAGAAAACGTCGATTTACGACAAAAAATCTGTTCACATACACACACACACACACTTTTCCAAATTTGGTCTCATTCGATTCAGAATGGCTTGAAACGTCGAGAAAACATAAAATTAGCGAATCGGATTTTTTGATGAAAACATAAACTTTTCCTTCCTTTAATAAAATAGAGAAAAAAAAACATTCATCTTTATTTCAATTGAAAATTGATATCACTGCTACATGAAACACTTGGTTTGAAGCGCGGGATCGAAAACAGGACACGATAAGTCGCACCGCGGTATACTTGCCATTACCATTATAATGATTATTATTGTTTTGGTACCTTTTCCGAAAGGAGTTTTATCGATTAGAAGCACTATTTTTTACATCATTTAGCAGTATTAATTTCCATGACTTATAATTAACATTTTAACAACCTATGATTATATGCTTATGTATTCTCCACTTGGACTTTCAATTTTCAAGTCGTCAATAATCTGCTTTCTTTTTCTTCCTCGTATTTTATGTTCTTCTATTTTCCAATCTATGACGTCATGTCCAGTTTGGTTTGCTTTTTGCAATCATATCCAGAGTACATGTCTTCCACAATTTATCGCTGTACTTCTACTTCTCCTGCACCACATCCGAAAACTGTCCGGATAGATTTCGATGACTTTTCGATGAATTTTTTTTAAATTCTTACCCCTGATCCTCCTTTATTACTGTTTAATTATAGTTTAAAAAATATATGAATTGAAATGTTTTCGTTCTGTTTCAGATCAATATCAGGAAACAGGATACAGAGAATGGACTCTGACAGTTTGCCCCGACAGCTCGTTCTGCTCGACATGAGATCGACGGCTCTGAGCGAAGTGGCGGACGACACATTCCGACACATGACCCGGCTGAGGAATATGTAAGTTATTTGTTTCTCAATTGACTTGCTATAGATTCTTGATTTACTAGTGAATCAGCTGTTGCCAACGTTATTAAATGTTTGTATAATTTACTTACGATAATTCAATTTGCCCAGTACAAAGTCTTGAGGCAGACTTCAAAACTAAACCTACCAAGGCCGGTCAAATTGACCGTTTCAAAATTCGCATTTAACTTAGACATTTTTAATCGTTAAGGGGCATAACTAGTGTGAAATTTTCACAAAATCGAATTTTCAATTTTTCCATATTTCGATAGGTTATACCTTTAAAAATAACATACCAAATTTTAAATCGATAATATAGTTTTGAGTCACAGCCATTTAAAGAGCATATATATATAGTACTAGCTGACCCGGCAAACGTTGTTTTGCTAAATAAGGTATATTCTAAACCATTTCTAGAGAATCAAAAATATTAATACTTTAAGTGCATAAGGATGTGTTGTTTGAATGCTGTATACAATTAGGTATTATAAAAACAATAAACCCCATTAGTTTGTCTATATTTTGTCAATACAATCAAACTGCAAGTTTTATACACTTTCTATAGAAAACATCGTATAATCCAATCCGAGTCTTTTTTGGTTTTTCGGCTTATTAATTACGTTTCAAGTTTTTCAGATTCTTTTTGGATTCTGGATTTTGTGTATAATTGCAAATAATACTACTGAGCTTATACAAAATTTCAAATTTTTGCGAGGAGAGATAAAAAATGAATTAAGTTACATTCGATGAATTAAAGTAAATTTAATAAAAAGTATATATGTAGAGCAGGGCGAGGCACAAAGGTCCAATTTGACTTTGAGCAAATATAAACTATATTATGAAAACCATAACAATTATATCAGAACAAATAACACATATCAAACGAACAATTATCTGACTACGTTCAGTAAAACTGACTTCTACTTCATCATTGTAGAAATGTGCTTTTTTGATGTCTTCAAAAATTTGTTATCTAGACCTTTTTATCCTATATGTAGGGTAACTTGTAACGGGCAGGTGGCAAAAGGTTAAAACCTTATTATAATTTTAAATGTATTTTACAAAATAATTACATTTTTAACTAATGCTAAAACTACCTACGGAAGAAAATACTTTTATTATGGATTTTCAAAGATTACCGTTTATCTCCCCCATTTCAAAGATTATCGTTTTCAAATCAAGTTTGTAGCTGGCTATACATCTTTTTTCCTCTACTTTCAAATATTGTTGTTAAACAATGCTTTACTTTACTGATTTTTGGCACATCGGTGGTGGACCTTTTTAATCCCGGACCTTCATATATTACTATCTATTCTGCGATAAATTCTGGGAAATTATAACTGGAAAAATGTTATTCGATAAAATGTCCATTTGATCGATACCAAATTTAGATTCTGAATTTAAATAACATAAATAAAAAATAATATAACCTAGAAAATGTTTTATAAATACCAATGAGTATATAATTATACAAATGAGATCTTTCAGAGCACAGTGTTTGAGAAAAATATGCCAAAAAGTGCATTTTCATATTAACATTTCAAAAAAGTTGATATTTTGAGTCTCTAGTAACACTTGCTGCCCGTTTACTAACGTTTTTGTATATAAATAAAACTACAAACAAAACTACTTACTACAAATTTATCATAATTAAATAATATTCGCGTAAAACATCCTATTAAACGTAATTGAACATCATCTGTCAAAAGCGTTTGACATTTCACGAAATTGCCACCGTCAATTGTTTTATTTAAATTACTCTTCAACAAAAATTTCAAATTAAAAATGTAAAGTTTCTACGCGGATTTGAAATAATTTCTCACCTTTGGACTTTCTCTGGATTGGCACGAATTTTTCCAGACTAAGACTGGCCAAATCGATTCAGCCGTTTTCGAGTTTTATTCTTAACACTCTCATCTGAGGATGAGATCAAATTTGAGCTTCCTATTTTAATATAGAACGGTATTCATTCTTTGTTTTATTTTAATACAACATCAAAATATAAATTGAATAAAAATGTAATGTAAAATTTATTATATCATAAATTCAATTTTACCAAAAATCTGCTGATTGGTGGTTTCAAAGGTCGAACCTTTTGACCTAGCGCTCGTCTCTTGCAAAATATTTGAAATACAAACTGTATCCGATCACATCGTTAGCCTGTGGGCTTTCTATTCTGTTCTTGTTTCATATTTTTATTATTGGACCTCGTATATAGTCTGCCGGTTGATATCTACGGCGCGGTTTCAATTCGTAGGTAAAAAGCGGCGCGCGGCACCAAATGCGACTGCCGTAAAATGGCAATCAAAAGCACATGCCGGAGCTTCAAACCAAAACAAATATGCCCGCTGTAAAAAAGAATCTGCATTCGACGCTGTATCGTTGCGAATCTAAATATTTTCGGGAATAAGTTTTTGAAAAAAAACTGTTTACGTTTTACTTATATTTTTTGTAGAGTAGCGGAATGATTTCTGACCGGTTCAGGTCAGTATAAATAATATCGGCTTTGCTTGTAATAGAACGTAAAATATCGGAGATTAGTTCAGCTATTTTTTTTATTTGTTCTATCATCTATCTATATAATATACAAAATCAATAGTGCAAAAAAAATTCATACAATGATGCAGTTTTTAAATTGATAATAATACTACAAGAGTAAATGATATAATGAACATAAATATTCAAATAAACTTCAATAGGTTAATAAGATTTTTTTATTTAAGGGGGTTGTTCTTTTTTTTTGTTACAAAACATGCAAGGTATTTGTTTTGTTTTTCTCGAAATGTATTTATCATAAAGACATGCGTTTTTTTTTAAACAAAAATTACAAAATCATAGAATATTAGAAATTTTTTATTTTATTTTTTTTGCCGTAATTTTTTAACCAGGGGGCGCCAAAGTGGCATTGCAAATTGATCTCGTTTGCGATGCCACAGATAAATCCGTTGCGCATCGCCTGTGAAACAAAAAAAAAAAACGAAACTACGTTAGAAGAAGTTTGAATCCAGTCCCCCTACCAAAATGAAAGAACAAAAGCAAGAAGGAAAAAAATGGCAGCTATTTTAAAAAAAAAGTGTCCAAAAAGGCCTTTGTTTGGGACGAAAAGGTTCGCAAAATTTTTTGCGTAATGTTATCAAGTTATTTGAGGTAGGGGGACTAGGGTATTGCAGTGGTGAACATTAAAAAAAAAATTTGAAGTCGATCCGGCTTGTAGTTTTTTTAATTTGTGGCCACCGCATTGAAAAAAGTCACTTTGAGAAAAACGTATTTAAAGTTTTTAATATAATGTACTAAAATACACCATTTAATTAATGTACGAAATACACCATGGTGTTCAAAGATGCTGACACATTAAAAAGGTCATGTGCATGAGGTATCATGATGAAAAAGAGGTAGCTGGCACACAATAGCTCGCGGAACGATAAAAAAACGCTTTCAGAGGATCATACGTATAGAGATATATATATCTATAATTTCTTCAAAAAATAGATATTGAGATGATTTCTTTTTTAAAATAATTCTAAGGTGTTTAGCTTTCATAATATCAAAAAATCTCAAAACCGAAACAAAAAATATAAAAAAGTATAATAAAAAGTATATATAAATATAAAAAAAGAACAACCATTAAAAACTTCTTTTGCTACATCAGCAAAATTTTTGGTAGTACTAAGAATGTCTAAATCGGATGCTAATCCATTGATTGGGCGTCCGGGTATCAATTCCTTGCTAGATTAATAGGATTATCAAACAGCCTGTTTCTATACTCTCAAATGTTACCTCATATGTGATTTATGTGATGAACCGATAACTAATAAACTAATTACATTTACTTTACTAGTTACAGTTATTTTTTTTTTTTAATTTACATCGTAGTATATTTTATTTTAATCGGTATGGATGCAAAGTAACCAAAATCAAAACAAAAAGTATTCAAAACGTCTTTCCATTTTTTCGATATAAACACTGACTACTTTGGAAAGTCTGCTTAACAGGTTTTTTAATGACTGTCCGTTATTATGCGCATGAACAGAAAATTATACAGTGTGTCCCAGAACTCATCTTCAAACCGAA